TCCTTAAAAAAAAAAAAAAAAAAGCTGTATTAGGCTGTTTTCTATCTCCATAACAAATACAAGGCTGGGTACTTTATTCAGCTCACAATTTTGAAAGCTGAAAGTCCAAGATTGGGCAGCCCCACCTATTCAGCCTCTGGTAGATGGCTTCAAAATGGCTGCTGTAGCTTTCTCACAGCATTGTATCTAGGCTGTAAAGGTTCAAATCCCAGAAGAACAGGTGGAAATGCATGGCACTTTTAATGATCTCACCTTGGAGGCCATATAACATCACTTACACTGTATGGATGGAGTGTTTTGTTTGAGGCAGTTACATACGCCCTTCCAGGTTTAAGGGCAGAGAACATTGATTCTACCTTCTTTGGTGGAGTTTTAGAGGAACATGGGGAACAAGAAATACTGTTTTGGCCATGTTTGGAATACACAATCTGTTGTTTTATTATATCCCAAGAGCTTAGAATGGTGCCTTGGCTTGTAGAGTTTTTGTTTGTTTTAGTTCAAATCAGTTATATATAACAGTAGAAACTCTTTCATTCATTGTCACACAAATGGAGCAGAATTTTTCACTTCTCTGATTGTGCATTAAGTAGGGTCACACCATTCGTACAGTCATACATGTACTTAGGGTAATGATGTCTGTCTCTTTCCACTGTCTTTCCTACCTCTTTGCCACCTCTGCCCCACCACCCTGCCCCATTGTAGAGCTTTGTAAATGCCTGATGAATGAATGAATGAAGTGAGTTTATTAGAAGAGGAGTATAACATATGACCAGTTTGTTAGGATATTGCCTCAGTATTCTAAGCTTGACTTGAGTAGAAATGGAAAGGAAAGACTGATTTGGAGATACCTAGGAAGTACAGATTGCAAAATTTAGTGATCATTTAAATATGGAAATAAAGTAGGGGAATCTGGGTTGAGAAGGGGAGAAGTCTAGAATCTCAATCTAGCAATCTAGAATGACTTACAGTCAGTCAAAGAGACCAGCTCTGTGCTAAAGCAAATATCATAAATAAGAGCAACTGAGGAGAGGCTGAAGCAGGAGGATCTCAAGTTCAAAGCCAGCCTCTGCAACTTAGTGAGAACTTGTCTCAAAAAATAGGAAGAGCTTGGGATGAGCACTCTGGGTTCAACCCCCAGTACCACAATAATAAATACATATGTACATTGATACATAAAAGTAAATTTTTAAAAATTGTGAGCATGAATCCCTTCTTGATAAAATTATTTTTAGTGTTAAATTAATCCCTGAAAGGGCTGAATAAATAGGTGGAAATACTTAGATGATTTCATGAACTGTGACACTGTTAACAGAGCAAAAGCTTTGAGAGAAAAGATCAGCTCAGTTTTGGAAGCACTGAAATTGAGGTTTTTGGTGCTAAGCCAGCCAAGTGAGATCCTTGAACTCAAGGCTGGAGAGTATGCTCTTAAAGATTTTCTTTAGTGTTTTTCTGGTGGAAGGAGAAAGGACAACTTTGTTTTCCCTTACAAAAGAGGAAATTTTTGCTTCTTTCAGTTCATTTTTATCCTTTTTGGTTGTTCTATTTATATTCATTTTGAAATGTAATTAAAATGACCTTTTTTCCTCCACCAAAAGTGACTTGGCTTTTTCTTTTTTCTTTTTTTTGGTACTGGGCAGTGAGCCTAAGGGTGTATCCCCAACCTTTTTATATTTTTTGTTTTGAGACAGAGTCTCACTAAGTTGTTTAGGGCCAAGCTGAATTGCTAAGGCTGGCCTTGAATTTCCAATCCTCCTGTCACAGCCTCCCTGATTGCTGGGATTACAGGCATGACCTACTACACCCTGCTCTTTTTTCTTTTTTAATGTTACACAGTAGCTTTGGAAATCCTAGTCTCTTTATAGAATTGGCAAGGTCTTAGTCACATAGATCCCTTTGTATTCTTCCTAATGTATGAGGAGCATGATTTCATATGTTGGTGTGTAGTACCTTAGTACCATTAAAACCTGAATCTTAGCTATCACTGAGCATATTAGGAAAGGTCCTTGAAGATCTTTGGATAAAAGAACACACTGATGGCAGAGAAACTCTTGAGACCTTTCTTTTCTTTCTTTTTTTTAAGCAATTTTTTTTTAATATTTAGTTTTTAGTTGTAGTTGGACACCATACCTTTATTTTATTTACTTTTATGCTGAGGATTGAACCCAGGGCCTCGCACGTGCCAGGTGAGTGCTCTACTGCTGAGCCACAACCCCAGCCAGAGACCTTTTTTACTTAGCAAAAATCACATGAACTGAGCCATTCTGGCTTCTAACCACTTCAGATAATCATCGGGATATTATTACTTAACATTTTATTCTTAACGGAAAGAGAATTTCCCAGTGAATCTTGTTACTGACATTTCTTAACAGTTTTTCAGCGTTAGAATAACTTAATAGACCATGAAGCAAGATGTAATGTTTCACTAACCCCCTTCCCCATCTTGTTATTCATATCTTTAATTTAAAGAACTTTGAGCCAGGCATGATTACTCAAATCTCAGTGACTTGGGAGACTGAGGCAAGAGGATTGCAAATTTGAGACCAATCTCAGCAACTTAATGAAACCCTGTCTCAAATAAAAAGTAAAAAGTGCTGGGAATGTAGCTCAGTGGTAGAGTACCACTGGGTTCAGTGTGGAGTACCAAAAAAAAAAAAAAGAGAGAGAGAGAGAGACAAACTTTGTTGATTCTTACATACTATTTTTTTCTTCCAAAGAGGGGAAGAGGAAGAAAGCAGTATTCCATATAAGTTGATCGATACCCTGTATAACCTAAACCAGCTCATGCTTTTGACTCCTTATAAAATTTTAGAAAGAGATTTTGACAACAAAAATTAGTAATAGAAATGGAAGAAAAGGTCTACCTTTAGCTCTGAGCAGACAACTACTTCTTTGAGTTATGTAGCAGAAAAGTTTCAGTATGAATCATCTTAGAACAGCTCTGTAGGGTTGTCACTATAAATATTTTAATGGTAAGTGACTTTCTTTTGTTCCTGAAGGCAAAGTATTGTTCTCTTGGATGTTTCTTTAGCACAGAATGCATTAATTAGAAATAGGGGCAGATTGGCCTTATATTGTATGATAAAATACAACATGAGTACTAATATTAATATGGTCTCCCAGAAATATATTGAATAAATTATTCTCGTAGAACGTAGATATCTAATAATAATTATGTGTTCTTATTGTAATAGAAAAAAGTCTATATTGGATATATGAGAAAACTTTTGCTCAGAAATTATGATTGGATATAGGCTATTAGATTAGCATATTTATTCAAAATTAGAATCTTGTTTTCTAGGCTGTGCTTATTATTTGAAAATCACTTCAATATTCTTTGAATAATAAAAATGACACTTGTAATCCCAGCTACTTGGGAGGTCCAGGTAAGAGGATCACCCAAGTTCAAAGCCAGCCTGGGCAACTTAGGAGACCCTAAAAATTGTTCCAAAATAAAAAGGGTTAGGGTTGTAGCTCATAGGTAAAATGCCCCTGTGTTCAATCCCCAGTACTAATAAAATATGAAAATTTTTAAATAATAAATATAATTTACAAGTATTGTTGAATATATAGTACTAAACCTAAAAAAAATGCATACTTTCATTATATCAGGTATAATAATGACTTTTTTTTTGAGAGAGAGAGAGAAAATGAATCTTTTTTTTTTTTTTTTTATAGATGGACACAACACAATGCGTTTATTTTTATGTGGTACTGAGAATTGAACCCGGGTCCCACCCGTGCTAAGTGAGCGCTGAGCCACAATCCCAGCCCACAATAATGACTTTTTAAAAGTTTTCTTGTTTCATATTTTATTACAAAAGGAATAATTTGATTAACATGGGCTGGAGCAAAGACTTCTTTATTCTACAGTATCAGAGAACTCTAGATCGTGGATTCATTGCTAAAGTTATTTTTGCAAGTAAATAATCTGTTGTATTCTATTCTTGATGCCAGGATGTATAGTTGCCTAACACTGCTGCCGTATATTAAAGGCATGCCTATCACACCTGACTTTGGAATATAATTTTTCAAATATACTTGTTTTTCTTGAGAATTTTTAAATAAACAAAAATATTGAGAAAATAGTTAGTTCCTTAGTTTTTAACCTAATATCCCTTTTCTCTTGGAAGATCCCATCCAGTATGCCACATTATATTCAGTCATTTTGTCTCTTGGGATTCCTCTTAACTAAACACTTTCTCAGACTTTTGTTGTTTTTGATATCTTTGACAGTTTTGATGAGTACATATCAGGTATATTATAAGTTATTTCTTTTAGAATTTGATGTTTTAGTTATGGTTAGATTGGGGTTATAGGATTATATTATTTTAAAGCTATGTTTATCCTTAGGAGAATTGACAAACTGTCTTCCAAAGTGGCTGTACCGTTTTGCATTCCCACTAACAATAAGAGAGTTTGTCGTTTCACAACCTTGTCAGCATTTGGTATTGTCAGTTTTTTGGACCTCAGCCATTCTAGGTATGCAGTGGTTGGAATACAATTTTAAAATTGACCATTTTGTCTTACTATTATTATATCTCACTATAGAAGCATTAGCTTTCTTCTCTTGATATTTCTCTTGAAATTAGTCTGGTTTTTTTAACCTTTATTTTATATATTTTTATTTTTATGTGGTGCCAGGGATCAAACCCAGTGCCTCACGCATAGGCAAGCATTCTACCACTGAGCCACAATCCCTGCCCTTGAAATTAGTCTTTGGAGAGGATGTGTGTGGTTTTTCCCCATACAAATAATTGTTACTGGTATTTAAATGTCCTTTCACTATTAGGTTAAAATTGCCTGTTCTCTTTTGCTTTCCTATCACTAATAGCTTATAAGCTACATTTCTACTGGTGTTAAGCTGTACTTTTTTGATGTTAATGTCTTGTTTAATTGTTTTTGTTTAATTTTTTATTCTCATTTTCCATTCTTCAAAGTCAGTTTTGCTTTTTTTGTTTTTCTTTGTTCATAAAGCTTTTTGTTTCTGTTACATTATGTAGTTTTGTACCAATGGCTAGAAGCAGATCGTCATAGCAAGAGCCAAGAAGCTACAAATACGACTTCAGGTAAAAATAATAGTTAAAAAAAAGGGTGGGTTACTAGAAATCTTTATTGTAATTTACCCCAAGCCCATTATAAGCATTTCCTTATTTAGTTTTGTTTGGAGAGATCATCTAAAGATATTATTTTGTATTCTGTTCTCTTGTCTGCATCTTAATTTTCATAAAGACCTCATTTGCTTCAGGCCTTGAAAAAATGTATTCACTAGTCTTTAAGCTGTCTTGGCATATATTTCCTACTTTCTTAGGAGAGAAGGCTTAATTGCATCTTAAATTTAGTTGATTATTTAGTAATACTACTCAATCTATATATAATTATGGCAAGGATATTATTAATATGTAAGCTCATTTTTTGGAGTGTTTTTGGCAAGTCAGTCGCCAAGATTGAACCCAGGCACCCTCAAGAATATTACTATTGCTACAAATTTATAATTCTTGTTTGTTTAAGTATAATTTTTAAAAGATAAACTTTAGCTTAACTGAAGGATATTTATATATAATTCCATTTCCTGGGAATCCAGATTTTCAGACCTAGTCATTTTTTCTGTTTAGTCCTAGCAGTGAATTCGAAGTTAGTTTTATAAAACATACATTCAAAATGTGAAGAGTAGGTTGTTCTTCCTAGATATTCTTCTCTGGCTGGTACTGCATCCACTCATTTCTGAATCCCTAACAGTGATATTAGAATTTCAGAAAAGTTTATTCTTTCCCTCATTTCCTTCAAAATAATATTTGCCAAGACCGCTGTATATTTAAGAATGATCTTTCCTATTGCTCCCTCTTTAATGGTGTTAAGAGGTGGTGATGGTGGTAGAGGTGGTGATGGTGGTAGAGATAGTGGTGGTGGCAGTGGTTTTATTTTCTTATACTTGAGTTACTGTTTTGTGTATTTTATGTTTTTATAATTTTGGAGGTAATCTCTTGTTGCTTTGATGATCCTCAAGAAGTTGTAGCATTAGGTAATAGAACAATTATATTGAGAATGCACTTTTATGATTTTTCTGATATATCTTCTGTCCCATTATTAACTTGATATATGAATAAAGATAACATCACTATTTTTACCAAAAACAGGCAGGAAATCATTAAAAGGTAAGTGTTGCAAGGACTTATATCCTGGATTATGTGCTCTTTCTACCACTGTTATAGTGTTTCATATTTTACTAAAATTTATGGATGATAAAATCAAGCATTTCTGGTCTGTGATGGTGGGCATAGGAAAGGGTTTCTTATGACTCTATGTTATCTCAAAATATGCTTGTTGCTGCATCAGTAGCACAGTCAGCAGCATAGTTTTTTTAGAATCAGAAGGGAATTTTTGTTTTATTTTGCTTTTTCTTAGCCCTAAAGTAAAGTAAATTTTGTGTTCACATTAAAATTTTATATCAGCTTAAGGACATCATTTACCCTGAAGTCAACAGTTCTGAACTTTGACTTTGGTTCTGAACTTTTAGCTACATTGACTGATGGATAGTTTCCCATGTCTCCATTGACTTTTTGGTATTTATATAACCTTGGATCATGGTGCAAAAATTGATGAACTCTTCTTAGGGGTTTCTGTTCTTTAACAGTTTCTCTTCTGGAGGTGAAAGCTCTCTACTCTTAGAAACTGAAGTGTGGAATGGAAAGATGTAGGGATGTAGTACTTGCCTAAATCAGAGAAATCCAAAGGAAAATTATCATTAACCAAATACTTCAATTAGAAACAGTACTTTAGGGCTGTGGTTTGGCTCAGAGTAAGAGCACTCGCCTAATATGTGTGAGGCACTGGGTTCGATCCTCAGCACCACATAAAAATAAAATGAAGATATTGTATCCACCTAAAACTAAAGTAAATAAATAAATATTTTTTAAAAAGAAACAGCACTTTAATTGCCTCTGTAAATACATTTAAATTATGTGCCCTTATTCATAAAAGCTCCTATGTATTTCATATTGCAGTCTCCAACAAGATTTTATAGTGTGACTTTTCCCTCCTTCTGTGATCTGCTAAGTTTTGCACTCAAAGGTGTTTTAATAACTATTCATATTTTTACCCAAAATGGAAATTGAGTCACAAGATGTCAGAGTATGACTTGTAATTCAGATTGCCTAGTGATATTTTTAATTATGCAAATACTGGTAAATGGCATTTATATTTTGCTATAACAGCTAGTATTTTGCACTTAATTAGAACTTTGAAAGTAGAAAAACACAGGAGACAGGAAGAAATTGCTTCAAGTTTCTAATTCCTTGATCTCAACTTTTTGACATTGGAAATTTAAGATCCATTCATCTTAAAACATTTTATGAAACTAAGGCATTTGGGAATAACAGGTCTTATGGGAATTAATTTAGTCAAGGAGATAAAGAACTGATATGACAGCTGTTATTGAATTTTTTACATAAAATATAGTCTAATCTTTGCAGAATTTTATCAGGTGATGAATTTAACTTAGAATAGTTCATTGTTTAAAAAAGGTTAATGTGTTTAATGTGTTCTGTCCACTAAATTAGATAACTCAATAATAATGTTTCTTTTTTTTTTTTTTTTCTTTAAACTCCCTATGGTAGTTGGGGAATCAGAACTTCACAGTTGCTAAGCAAGCATGGTACCATTGCTCTGCATCCCCAGCCCCTTTTAGCAGTGATGTTTCTAATTTTGTATTAAGGAAAAGAGTGTCCAACTGAAGCAATAGAAAAATATATAAGACTCTTAGGTTTTATATTACCTAAGAGTCTATATATAAAATCACATATATTAGAGAGGGTTTTTTGTTTGTTTGTTTGTTTTAGAAATTCAAACAAAATTGCCTCCTGTGTGCACTGTAACATTGGGTCTATCTGTGTATGAATATATAGATATAGATCATAAGAAATATGATTAGCTTAAATCAGTATGTTTCTTTAGTAAATTAAATGTTTCCATATAAGAGATTTATATTATCATATATTGAAATGAATGCAATGATTATATTATAGCAGAGATTATTTTTACACTTGATTTTTAGTATTAATTGTAAAACTACTGTTTTTAAAATTCAGATTCTGACATTTCTGCGTTTCTGTTTTTTTGATGCTGGGAATTGAACCCAAGAGCACTTAACCATTGCCCCTTTTTGTATTTTATTAGAGACAGGATCTTGCTGAGTTGCTTAAGGCCTTGCTAAGTTGCTGAGGCTGGCTTTGAACTCGAAATCCTGATGCCTCACAGATTCTAAAGTTTTAAATTCAGTTCTCTTATTAACAATTTGCCAGTTATCCACTGGGAATTTTACAACTCAGATTATTGGAAGTAGAACTCGAATCACATTTCAACATTATAAGTAAATACTCTACAAAATAAATATAAAACTATAATGTGATTTGGAAAAGGTTCTAGATATTAACCAATTATTAATTATTCATTTTAGGTGAAAATTTTGACCAGAGTCCTTTGAGAAGAACATTCAAATCCAAAGTTCTGGCCCACTACCCTCAGAATATAGAATGGAATCCCTTTGATCAAGATGCAGTGAATATGGTATGTTCCCCCCACCTTCATTCTCTCTTCAGCCTTCCTTTTATTTTACTAAATGGCAATAATGACTATATTTTGAATGTCTATGTTATTTCATTTAATTATCGTTCATACTTTATAGATTTGGAAACTGAAGTACAGAGAAGTTACTTGCCCAGGATTCTCACATCTAACAAGTTTATACAACAGACCCCCAAAGCCCATTTTTAAGCTATGTTGTAGGTTTGTACTAATACAGAGATGCCTTGATAAACAGTGAAATTACTCTGTTTGCCTGATAGAAGAAACATGGTTTCAGTTTTTATGTTTTAAGAAATGTTGTGTGGAGGGCCTATCATTTGTCATTTTCACAGACAACATGAAGATGGAAAGGAACTTAAATACTTCGTTTAGACATGAGTATGAATTTGTTATAAAGAATGGTAATCAATATAAGTTAACCAGAGGTGATTAAAAGTTTCCTTTAGAGATTCTTAAAAATAAAGTAGGTCATAGTTTTCTGATCACTTTAGGAAGAGTCCTTCTTAGAAGCCTGGATACTATTTTGAACCTCTATCAACTCTGTGATTACATAATTCAAGAGGCCACAAACTGAGCAAATGAGACATCAGTCTTGATAGACACAGAAATGATTAATGATGAACTGAGACGCTATGATAGGTATAGTTCTTTTTGAGAATTTAAAAAGAGAACTGGAAGACATAAAAAAAAATCCCATTATGATCTGATACTTTTGGAAAAGAAAATTAATATTTAGTAGATGCCTGCTAGGTACTTCAAGGTGTGTTATTTTCACATACATGTTTACATGTACCCAGTGAATTCTTGTTCACATTTTATGGAGATTAAGTAACTTGCCCAAAGTCATGCAGTGATTTGAGGCCAACCCCTGAACATTTTTACTTTCTAGCTTACTTTTTTCCTCACTCCCCTGCTGCTTTCTCTAGAGAAAAACTATGTTTTGGTTTGCATCAGAAATGGTATGGGGTACATTTAACCCTTGGTAATATCACAGTAAAAACTTTGCAGTCTGAGGTTGCTCCAGGAAAGGGAAAGGAAAAGCATGGTGCTTTTTGTAAGAACTGATGCCTAAAGCACTTAGCACTTCAATTTTGATTCTTTACAGAGCAAAATGTATTTCCCCAAACTTATCCAATACTAAAATAACCGGAGTTGACATTTTGTTGGAAATGAATACTGTGAATGCTTAGTTTTATCTTTGATGAAAAGAGTATATAGATAGTGGGTAGAGCACAATCATTAGTTATCTTTGGGAGACTTAGAGGAACCTAACCAAGACTCTGACTAAATAGATAACAGATAGCAGTGGCAAAAATAATTTATCAGCTGCCTACACCAGCAAATTAATAGAGAGGTATTAAGGAAAAGAGTGTCCAACTGAAGCAATAGAAAAATATATAAGAATGTGAATAGAGGTTAGAACTTAATCTTCTTAATTTAGTAAGATATTTCAAAGTATAAATTATTTTGTGAGAAATCAGAATAATGTCCAAAAGTAGGCTCTTCCTACAGTATTAATCTGTAGTCATTTGAACAAAAAGCCACAGTTGGTGTATTTTCTCTTAGTCAATTAAATGAATGAATAGATGTCCATGATAGCTTTTGTTTTTGTCTGAAAAGCATTCATCTTTAAAGCAATTATCAAATTCTTTGATTGTCTTTGGTATTTTTTTTAACCTCTTGTTTCTGAGGTTGTTTTATAAAAGGAACAAACATTTTCCTCTAAAAAAATAAATGAAAAGACTGCGTTTTGATGGTTAAATACCATATGGCATTTTTTTTTTTTTTTTTAACTACAAATCTAAAAGGATTTGCTTGTACTCCTGGAAAATCTTCAAAAGCATCCCATTAAACCAGTTTGTGTTTGAGTCATAGATTTATTGCCCTTAATTTTGTCTTTGATTTATTAGTAAGTGCATTTGTATTAAGCTATAATTTATTCTTGCCTAAAGTTATAAAGCTTTATCTTGCCTTTAGCAAAATCCCACTCCAAGTTATTGCCTTCTGTATATTAGTCATTCCTCTTTTAAGTAACAGTGGTGATTTTCATAGAGGTCATTAATTTCACAAATAAATTAAGAATACAAAGCAATGAACTTGGTTATATAAAAAATTCCATATGTTTGAGTAGAGTGCAAATATAATACAAAATAAATATGTGACAGGTGAAATTGTTTCTAAATTAATTGCTTTTTATGTCTTGGTTGCCAGTTCAGAGATTTTTATGAAAAAATTATTTGAAGTATCGTAAAACAGAACAGTACAACCAACGTTCATATACTCAATATATAGTATTAACACATATCAACATTGACATGTTCACTTTAGCTTTACTTGTTGTTTTAAATGGAACTAAGCATTGCAGAACAGAGCCAAAATTCTTCCACTGTCTCCCACCAGTCCCATTTTCAGCTCTCTTTGAGGTAACCTGAATATTGGCATCTATGACTATTCATATAATGTTCTAGTAGATAGATCTTATTCTTAATAAGAATGCATGGTACCTAGGAATTTTTAGGAAGAAGAAATGATCACTATCTTTTTAAGCAAGTTATATGAAATATAAATATTCCATTTTATATATCTGTCCTAAACAAAATAATCTGACAAATGATGTTTTAATTAAAAGTGTAATAACTACTATAAAGTTCTTTGCAATCTATAAAGCTGTAAGTTTGCAGTTTACTTTGATCACAAAGAAGGATAGAGTAGAATGATGAGCAAAGAGTAAAAGGTAAAATGTTGGCAGAAGACGACTATTCAGATGTCCATCTTGCAACATTCAGAGCAAAAGGGGAGATACTTGTTACATACTTTTTATATACTAAACAAGTATTTAAATTTGAAATGGATAACCAAAAATGGTACTCAGGTTTGATATTATAATGAAAGTAAGGCTTTATTTTGACTCATTTAAGTTTATGCCTTACTGTAAAATCATAGGATTGGGACTAATTCAGCCATTGCTCATGGGCCCCACCTGTTTTCTTTAACTTTTTAGCTAGAATATTTCACTGGCATCTCAAGCTTAGCATGTCTAAAATTGAATTCACAGTCCTTCCCATTAATCTTGGACAGTGAATGGTACAGCCATCCACCTAGTTGCCTAAGCCAAAATCTGAAGGTTGTCCTTGAAAATTCTTTTTCTCCCTCTCCCCTATATAATTAATTATTTATCTGCTTCCTCTGTTTCCACACACCCACCTTAGCCCAAACCACCAAGATGGCTTACCTGGACTCCTATAGTCAAACTGGTCTTCTGCTCCTATCCATCCCATTCTTTTTTTTTTTTTTTTTTAAAGATAAGAAGTACTTATGCTTTTTTTTTTTAAAGAGAGAGAGAGAATATTTTAATATTTATTTTTCAGTTTTCAGTGGACACAACATCTTTATTTTATTTTTATTTGGTGCTGAGGATCGAACCCAGGGCCCCACGCATGCCAGGCGAGCACGTTACTGCTTGAGCCAAATCCCCAGCCCCATCCCATTCTTCACACTATCACTCTTATTTATGCTGATGTTTTTCTTCTTCTACTTCTCCTTTACCTAGTGAATTCTAATTGATCTTTAAGATTTCATTTTAAACATGTCCTTAGAGAAGCCATTCCTTTCCACTGCCCTCTTAACTTTCTAACAGGTCTCTTGGTACATTGCACCTTTTTGTAGCACTTGTCCCAGTTACAATTAAATAATTAATTACGTAACTAATTATGTAGATACCTCTATATTTCCTGCAATAATGTAAGTACCACTAGGACAGACACAGTTTCTCTTATTCCTTGCTAGGTCCCTAGCTTTGCACAAATTATTGAATGCTCAAATCATTTATTAAATGAAGAAATGCTTGCTTGTTTATTTTTTTATTTATTTTTTTTTATATTTATTTTTTAGTTATCGGCAGATACAACATCTTTGTTTTGTATGTGGTGCTGAGGATCGAACCCAGGCCGCCCGCATGCCAGGCGAGCGCGCTACCGCTTGAGCCACATCCCCAGCCCGAGCTGCTTGTTTATAATACTTCTGTTTCTTATTCTTGTCTGTTCAGGTGCAAAATCATCTCTTAAACAGTAGTAGTTAGGTGCTTTTTCTTCTCCCTGTAACATCTTGAACACACTCCACTGTAGCACTGATCATAATGTTTTGTAATTGTTGGTTTGTATGTCTGTTTTTCCTACTAGAATGTGAGCTCTCTGAAGGAAGGGATTATTTTTATGGTTTCTTTAATTAGTTGCCAAAGTCGGCGTAATGCATGGAATAAAATAAATGTTTATTAAAAGAGGGAAAGAGAGAAGAGACAAAAGGAAAGGAGGGGGAGGGATAAAGGAAGGCAAACTGACCAGCTCTTCTGAATAATTTTTTTTAATTTGAATAATGAGGGAGAGGCCATGGAGCCTGAGAACTGTAGAATATGGAAAAGTGAATTGTAAAACTCTGGCCAACAATAAAAGAGGGGGGAAAAAAAAGGAAAATGGAAAAAGAATAAATAAATAATTAATTTTAAAAATTCTAGCCAAACTGCCTAAAAGGGTCCAGAGAGATGAAGATATTTGTTCACTCTAACTGGGACAGGTTCAGACAGCATTGTTATCATCTTTTGGCTAAAGTAATTTAGTTAAATGTGGCAATCTGGTCATAATATTACAACTCTAATATTTAGTTATTTTATTGTGGAAAGGTGAAATGAGATATTATTAGTAATAGCAATATTAAGGGATAACAATAGATTATTAAAATACAGTGGTAGGTTCTGGTACATACCTGAAATCCCAGCTGTTCGAGAGACTAAGGCAAGAGGATTGCAAGTTTGAGGACAGCCATAGGAACTGGGAAAGCAGCTGGGCATGGTGGCATATGCCTGTAATCCCCGTGACTTGGATGGCTGAGATAGGAGAATTGCAAGTTCAAGCCCCGTTGCAGTAGCTTAGCAAGGCCTAAGCAACTTAATGAGACCCTGTCTCAAAATATAAAATGAAAAGGACAAG